AATAGCTTTGTCCACTTAAAACTGATGTGTGGATATTAAATATGCACATCCTTAAGATGTTAAGAAAATTATGTCATAGTTACTAATAGAGGTAGAATGTTCTAGAAAATAAGATTTCCTATTTAAGGAGGATGCATAATAGTTACTTCTTCTAGATGAATTTGTTCCTTATATTATTTTATATTATATTTGAGTATCCTCTAGGAGTTTTTGTGCCTACAAGTAATACCTAGAGAAAAGATAGACACTAGAGCCTGCTTTGACATATGATCAGTCCACCAACTCCCACACAAAGAGGTTCTGGAGATGGGTGGAGACAGATGAGAACGACAATGACAGCTTTCTTAAGGGATTTGATGCAGGTCTCAACATCCACACTGGTAATGAATTCATTTTAGCTATTTGTAGGCTAATGATATTTACCTACAAGGTTAGGTATTATTAAACATTCTTTATACACATTTCAGCCCCTGAATAATTTAATATATGATTTCCTTTTTCTCTCTCTTAGATAAATATTGGATGGCTTATTCCACTTACCTAATTCCACAGAAACCTTCTTGTGCTGGCTTTCTATACTACCCGACTTTGGGGGCTTTGACCTAAACATGTTAGAAAAATCTAATCTTGCATGATCTTACTCTCACTTCAAGACTATTTGAAGATATAATCTTTGTCATAGGAACACTATGTAGATTTATGTATATCAATATTTAAATTATTTTAATTCCAGGGATTAAAGTGTAGATGTAAAGGGTAAGTTTAGCATATGCATGTGTGTCTAAATCGATTCAGAACTCATGTGGCTGATGAGTAAGAGATCTCTGAATCTAAATCTGAAATGCTCCCAGATTTGTAAAGCTGTTTATATTAGACTGTGTAGTATGCTGGCTTGATTTACTACATTAAAAGAATATGCTAATTTTTTCAGTGCTTCAAAAATAATAAAATTGTACATTGAACTCAGGTTGCAGAAGATATTGCTAGAGTTCAAAATCATAAATCCATCTTTTAAACATTATGAATTATCTCATTGTGTTATAGACACGACGATGCTTGGAAACTCTCTTGATGGAAATGGATTTGAAAGACATAGACAAAAGTTCATCTTTGCATTTTTACCATATACCATGCCACTCTGGCTCAGTGAATGGTGATAGAAAAAATACAGTGATTAAGCAATAGGCTGATTTCCTTAAGCACATGACATTTTCTATTACTTTCCTGTCCTACATCATATTTTATATATGTGCAAACTCTGGATTTGTGTGTGTCTATTGTCTGTCTGTCTGTCTGTGTGATGTTTAATTATCTCCCTTGTACAATAGAAAGTTTTGGCAAATGCCCCTCAGTAGGCAGAATAACTCCCACTTTCTAACTCTGAGTGGCTGGAATTCTATCCTACATGGACAAAGGAGCTTTGACAATCTGTTTAAGGACAGTGAGATGAAGAGGTAGATTATCATGGATTGTTCCAGTAGATCCAGTGTAATCATAAGACTCCAAAGTGGAAGAGGAGGCAGAAGTGAGAGGCCCCTTCTCCGCCGTTACTGAGTTTGAGGATGGGAATAGACCAAAAAGAATGTGAGTAGTCTCTCGATGTTGAGAGAGGGACCCCACAAGAAAAAGAAAACTGATTCTTCCCCCAAACCTCCAGAGGGGCAAGTTATCCCTGCTGATACTATGCTGTTAGCCCAGCAAGACTCATGTCTGAGTGTTGGAGCTATAACATAATACCCTGTGTTGTTTCAGGTCAGTAAGTATGGGGTCATTTGTTTCAGCAGCAATGGGAAGCTAATACAGTCTCTGACACCGTTTTATCTCCTGCAACTTCTACTATGATGTGATACACAAAGAGACTCGGCTATCTCTTGTAGTTGCTCAATTGCCTTTCATCACTTCCCTTCTTCCTCTAGCTGTGTTTACTTCCCTATTCCACACTGGAGCAGGGACAACATTACTCAGCTTCCTCCGCTTGCACCAGACTGAATCATAACACAAACTAGCTTAAGGGGGATAAAAGGAGAGAAGGAGGAGGAAGAAGGGCACACCTCACCTAAGTGGAGCCTCAAAGGGTTGGAAGTTGGCTTCTTTCCCAGCTGATATGACAACTGAGTCAGCCTACTATGTCTGCCACGTTAGGCTGCTTTCTCTCTTGGTGCTCACTGGCTTCAATGTGTCCATGAGTCACAATTTCTTTTTTCTTTTTTTAGTGGCAAAGCTGCCCTGTGTACTTTGGGAAAGTATTTTGAAAACAAAATTTTTTTTATTCATTCTTATTCTGCAGTTTGAGAGTCGTTGTCTGGCACAACTGATCTCTGGTTCTTGTGACACCGGCTTACGGCATCTCAAGCAGAGCTCAAGAATTTGCTTCCAAGATGGCTTCACTGCTAGGGGTTGACTGGACCAAGTCAGGGAGTCACTGTTGGTTCACTTTCGTGTGGTCTCTGTACATGACCAAGTTTAGCTTATCACAGCACAGCAATCTTAGAGTAGCTGAACATTGCACATACAGCTCACCTCTTCCCAGGCAAAAGTGGAAACTTCCCGATCTTCTTAAAGTACACCTCAAAACTGACCCTGGCTGGTTTGTACCATGTTTTCTTAGTAAAAGCAGGTCACACGGCCCAGCCTGATTTAAGTAGAGCACTCTGGTTTTCCAGGCCTGCATACCCTTGTCATGGTTCACCTGGACCACTGGAGTGGCAGCCAGGCATGGTAGACAGGAAAGGACAAAAGGAATGGAACTGAAAACTAGCTTCACCTCTCACAATCGTTTCCTAGTCTTTGAACTTGTTCAGCGCAACAAAGCTCCTGTTTCCCTCTAAGTACATTCCCTGTAGACTTCGTACATTATCTGGAATTGAGGAAATAATGAAAAAAATCTAAACTCAGAATTAAAGAAACTCAAACTTTTGTTCCCATTGAACTTTTTTTAAACTATAAACAAAAATTAGGATAGTGCATAGAAATTGGTGCTACAAAGCAATTCAATTGTGCATGACACATGACGATTAAATTGTAACATGAATGGTGCAGTGGGGTCATTTGCTTAACCTTCTGAATGTGACAATTCCTTGGATATGTTAGCAAAATATTTCCACCACTTTAACTACATTTTTTATGGCTGTATTTATGTTTAACAGTACATACCCCAAATTGTCAAATCACTTGAGTTGATTCATGGTAATAATGTGCTCTGAATTAGAATACTTGAAATGTATTTCATTAATTTTATCTGTGTAGTGAAGTACAATGAGTGGTAGAAAGTTCTCTTTATAATATTAGCTATGCATATGCTTGTGGATAAGGTAGGCTTAAATTATTCTCATTTGAATTTTATGAACAGAAAGTATTGGGGATTCATAGTATTTAGGAAAATGTACGTATAAGGATTACTCAAGATGAAATTGCAAAAAAAGTTTAGAATATTTAGTATATGCTCATTGATTGATTTTACCCAGAGCAAATATGAACTATTTAAATTATTTGGGGACTAGTCATCTATATAATAATTCTCTAATAAAACACTACAGAAAGCAGCTTGACAATATATTTTCTTTATGCTTATTATTTTCCAAGAGTGTGTACCAAAGAGCTATTGATTCATATGTAATGAATATTAATTCTTTTTCAATGAAATTAAATCTTTTAAAACATTCAGATGATGACTGGTTGATCTTCCATAGTTAATGCTCTCTTTGGTAGTTTACCTTAAATAATATTTTGCCTTTCATGGAATATTATATAGTAAGTATAGCAGATTTATTTAAAAAGCTTGGATTTCTCAAGAGGACCTTTGGAACTTTGCCTTAAAATGTGCACACAAACAAAATTCCTGAAGCTATGTCTTAGAAATCCATTGTAAGAGAATTTCAAATCACTGCCAGAACAAAGAATTTTTTGTGGATTTCTATCAGAAAGACAAAGCAATAAGCACAAACTATGTTCAAATTAACATAGGGTAATATGGCACAAATAGAATAAAAGAGACCAATGTTTGCATAGTGGTGATGTCTTCAGGTAAAGAGGTATAAGTTGCTGCTTAGAAATAAATGTCCCTTCTTCAAAACACTTTGAGACAAAGTGTTTGAAAGGGCTGGCATATTTGATATTTACAGATATCAAATAAGAAACCCTAAAAATCTATTTATAATTATATGAATTTGAAACGTTCATCACTTCCTTTTGTAGAATATTCCTTTGGGGGTCTCAATCCTCTATTCTCTGTGCTTTGTTTTGAGAGTTCCACTAAGAAAATGCTAACATATACCACTATGGTATTAAAATTTATGTCCCCAATACTAACAATAAAAACAAAACATATCATTTGGTAATTGGTTTGTAAATAATATACTGAAAAATCAAAGCCCAGTGGCTGTGTCAGGCTTCTGGAAACATGTTGACATAAAAGTGGACACAAGGACCCAAGTAGAAGCACTGTCTCCTCACTCACCATTTTTTTCTCCAGAACTGGGGACTGAACTCTGGGCCTGATAATTGGGCAAGAGCTCTCCTATCTGACGCCAGCCCCCTTTGCTCTTTTACTTTTTCAGGTAGATTCTTATGCTTTTGTCCAGGCTACCTGTGGACCAAAATCCTTCTCCTCCCTCAACTTTTCTCATAACTGGAATGATAGGAATATGGCGTCATGCCCAGCTTGTGTCTGAGAGTGAGAGTCTCACTAACTTTGGCCTAATCTGTCCTGCCTCAAACTGCGATCCTCCCATCTTTGTCTTCTTAGTAGCTGGAATGAGAAGACCTTAACTCTATTTTATTGGAAAAATAAAATAAAGTTACCCATGTGCCCCAAATAGTGGGCTATTATTTTTTATTAGCTATACCAGAGAAGGGTGCTAAGGCTGTTGGGAAAGAGAAATTGCTTCTTGGTATGGTGTCTGGACATATTTGATTAAATCCAGAAAGGCTGTCAGTGGTATGGGATATGTGGATCTGGTTGGGTATTTTTGTTAACTATGTCCCTGTGTTCTCTCTTCCAGCCATCGGCAGGACCCTGATTCCCCGTTACTTTAGCACTGTATTCGAAGGAGGAGTGACAGACCTGTATTACATCCTCAAACACTCTAAGGAGTCCTACCACAACTCATCCATCACGGTGGACTGCGACCAGTGCGCCATGGTAACCCAGCATGGGAAACCCATGTTTACCAAGGTACAGGCCGGGACCAGAGGCATGTTCCCATTGTCCGTCTCTGAGTAAACCACAGGACAATAAGGACAGTTTTTGTCCAGTACTCTAAGCTGATTTCTCAGGTCTCAGATATTTTTCATCTCTGTGAGAGAATCTTCTTTTGGCTAGACCGCTTGGTGAATGCTATTCTAGAATGCATGCGTGTGACACTTTCTGCGTGAAAATCAAACATTTCAGAACCTCAAATCTAGGAGTGAGAAAGGTTCAACTGCCTCTTAAATTGTACTAGCTAAAATAGATTTGTTTCTACAACCTGTCTTCTTCAACTGAAAGACCTATCATGCCATCCATATAGATGGCTTTGTTCTTCAAAAGAGCAAAGCTAAATTTAAATCTTAAAGGGGAGAGACTATGAACCACAGCCTAGTTATAATTTACAAGGAATTATGAAAACTTAAAGTGGATAGTGAATGAAATTAGAGAATCTGGAGATTAAAGGGCATTTCCCAAACTCTCAGCAGTTCTGGGACTGGGGTGCCACACAAGCAGCTCAGGAAGTGAGTGTGGCAAAGCCAAAAGATGGGTTGTGAAAAAGTTAAGAAAGAAGATGAGGTCCAGGGAAAGATGACAATGTTTGAGGCAGGATGCAGGGACCAATGAAGGATATGAAATGAAAAGCAAGATGGAAGAGAAGATTGTTCAGCCTCATCTTCTATACTGTCTACACCTGTAATCCTTGTCATGTAGACAATCCTGACATGTAGAACGTATCTCTTATCAAAGACTGTATGGGAACACTAAAGATGATCTCCTCATGGTCTGTCTCCAGGTAAAAAAGTAAATGTTAACAATTATTTGCCCCAGAATGGAAATTTATTGCATTTTGTTTATAAGTTGATCAATTAATTTCTATTGCAATCTTGTGGCTCTATCCAGATTCTAAAACATCCCAATTATTCATGTGACCTCTGAGATATATCCCCATCCTTATGGAAGTTCATTTTTTAGAAAAAATGAAACTAGTCTGTTTTATGAATGTTAGCATCTATCTCTCTCAGAAGAAAACACATATAAGAAACCTTCATTGTTAAAATGAGTCACATTATCAGATATGTTTGACACTTTGGCAACTTTGCTGCAAGTAAAAATACTTTCTGATTTATTCCATTGACCAGGCGGATGCAGTGTAACTTTCTTTGGTGTCTAGGCTGGTATATAACCAAAGGCAAGCTGGGCACTGGTGGCTCACACCTGTAATCCTAATGACTCAGGAAGTTGAGATCTGAGGATCATGGTTCAAAACCAGCTCAGGCAGGAAAGTCTGTGAGACTCTTATCTCGAATTAACCATCAGAAAACCAAAAGTGGATCTGTAGCTCAAAGTGGTGGATCACTAGCCTAGAGCAAAACAAAGCTCAGGAACCCCACAGGTCCTGAGTTCATGTCCCATGACAGACCAAAACCAAAAACCAAAGGCAGAGGAAATAGTTACAAGATACTAAGGCAAACTGTCAAATGTCATGGGTTCTATGGTATTCTGGTTTTGATAGTAGACATTTATAATATGGGATCTAGAGGGAGGGCAAAAAAATTAATTAATTTGTAATTCCTTAACAGTAGAACAGAGAAGATGGTTATCACTCAGAGACAAGCTTCACAGTGAATGTAGTAACTCATGCCGAGAAGAGAGTTTTCTATAGAAAACTGTTTTCTCTAGAAAAGGAATGGTTGCTACGAAGATAATTTAATTTGTCCATGTCTTACTTCATTCTGGAGATGCATAATCTTGTTGTTGCATAATCTTGCCAATCAGATGGATGTGTGACAGATGAATTGCTAGGATTGCAAACTCAAGTTCTACAAAGAAAGCCTCTTTTTGCTGTCCTCTCTCTGCCTCTGTCTTCCTCTGTCTCTCTCTCTCTCTCTCTCTGATTCTGCTTTTCTCTGCTTTTCTCTCTCTTACTCCTCTTCCTCTCCCTGTCCTTCTCCTCTTCCCTCCCCTCCATTCCCTCTTCTCTTCTTTCTCTTCCCCCTCTTTCTCTCAGCTTAATGTGTTACTTTTAGGAAATTGGAAAGAAACATACCACCTTATACTTTAAGGGAAAGAAATCCATGAGCATTAAGTAAAGCTTTGCAATAATTAAGAAGCTACTCCTAACAGCTGAAGAAAATATAAAATTCATTTTGTACTTGCAGTTTTATGTATTTACTCACTACTTTTCATGCACAAACATGGTTGTTCCTAAAGTTTAGTGACAAACATCCCAGACTTGGTTTAGACCAAAAGCAATCTCATCCTCCTGATGGATCCACAATGCTCTGTTTACAATCATGTCAAGAAAGACGATTGTGCTCTGTTCCAGTCTTACTTTTCCTGGAATGCTCTCCTCCCAGCTGTTGGTTTGTTCAAGAGTCCAAAAGGCCCAAACACTCCCCTGAACAGAGCTTCCCTGGCCCCCCAAGCTTCAATTATTGGGGCCACCCATCTCCCACTGTACCACAGCCATAATGAATATTTTACTATCATGATGAAGAGCCTCACTTTCTGGAAAATAAAGTTCATTTGTCTACAGTTAGTTCAGATGCTAATTTCACACATTTATTTTTTAATAAATTTGATAGGATTCTGTCTCCCTCTATCTCGCTCTTCCTTTTCTCCACCATCTCCTCCTCTTTCTAGCTCTTTCTCTCTCTTTTTTCTCTCCTGTTTCTTTCTTTCCCCTTTCTCTCTCTTTTCTCTGTCTCTTCTTCCACTTTTCTCTGTCTCTCTCCCCTCACCTCCTCTCTCCCTCCTTCCTTCCTTTTCTTTCCTTCCACTTCTCTCTTCCTCTGCTCCTCTGTCTCTTCCTTCTCTCTGCCTGCACCTGTATCTCTATCTCTGTCATTCTTCCTCTCTCTCCTCACTGTCTGCTTCTCTTTCCAATCTCTCTCCTTTCTCTTTCTCTGCCTCTCCTTGTCCCTCTCTAATTAGTGATTTTTATATGACCCATAGAATCTTCTCAATTTTTCCTGTGTTCTTAATTAAAAATATCTCAGCTTTGTGTAATAAAACACTATGACTATTTAGTGTAAACAGTTGGCTAATAGCCTTTCAGTGCCACTAAGAAAATGGGCTCTGAAGCCAATGCCTATTGTTTTGCTATTAGTACCTGACATCACTTAGCACATTATGTGTTGGTAGCCTCACACTATTCTAATTTAGACTCTCAATAAACTTGCATTCCTCAAACCACATTTGACCCACTGCTTCTGAGTTGCTTGCATGAAAATTTGGCCAACTAGTGAGTCAAAATCAGCCACAGTCCTAATTAACAGTAATATTAAATATTCCTCAAGGGTATAATGAGGGTTTTGCAATTTCCTGATACTAAAAGTATTGTAGATTAGGGATAGGTATGTGATTAGAATGTTTAAATGCATATTAAAAGCTCTCTGTTCTTAGTTTTAATTTTGAATCAAATAGAATACAAGAAAGAGCCTATGTCAATTTTCCACAAAGATCCCCAAGTTATATTTCTGTTTTAGGGTCTGAGTGTTAGCAGATGCTGAGAGGGACACTGAGAGACTTTTTGAAAGTCTAGTTTAGGTTTTGTAAACTGAAATAATAGTTAATGCTATTGCTGGAAACTTTTATCACCTCTGCAAACACAGGCTAATGTTTTGTTTCTGTTCTCAATTATTTATGAAATTATTTACTACTCTAAAGAAAGTAAACACACCAACAAGCTTTCCTAATATGAAAATTCACTTTTATCTTTGACAATTAGTTTCCTGCTTTAGCCTGCATACCACATTATATTTCAGAATTTCTTACCTGCTGATTCTCACCAAATTATAGTGTTAAAGACAATATTGCCTTGCTATGCATTTATATATGCAATATCTCTAGGTAAAATACAGCTTTGTGTGGTTGTTAATCTAAACATACATTTCTGTGAATGCTTTGCAAACATAAAGAATAAGGAAATGAAACAGTGCCACCTAAAAAGCACATTTTATTTCATGAAAATCTATGTGAGAATCATTATATTATACAACAGCATGCATGGTCTACTTTACAATTAGTCAGAGAGAGAAAAGAGTTAAAAAAGCTACCGGTTAGTTTGAGAAATGTTCTTTTTTAGTTCTCTTGTTCCTGGCCTAGTCTCAAGCTAGCACGTGATCTGCTGAATGCCTGCCAGCCTCTTTCTTGTTGATCCTCCGGAGACCATCTGTGCTGGGGGCATTGATTAGAGTGTGTCTGCTGGGATTACATCTTTTCTGTTGCCATGCCAACTAATCAGCTGATTTTGGTTACCACAGAAACAAAATGTCAGAGCTCATAGTACGGTAACATGAATTCAGCACAACAGAAAATGTTTTCTTAATTGGGGACCCTTTTGATTTTGGATTCCATAGGAAAGGCAGCTTTTTAAAAAAATGGCAACTTTAGGTAAAAGCTATATTAATTGTATTGATTAAGAAGAATGCAGATTCTTTAGAAGAAAGAGATATTAATTCCTCTTTATGAGTTGTGCCCATTTTTTTCTTCCCATTTCCAAACAAAGAATAACTATATTTTTTCATATGTGTCCTTATTTCATTTCTTGATTATTGGTTATAAAACAAATCATAGCATCTTTGGTTACATAGAACTTCCATTGTGGTAGCTGAAAGGCTGACTAGAGTCTGGGGTGAAGATGTGGGGTTAATTACTTAGGAAAAAAATTTTCTATCTTTTTAAGACAAAAAAGTCATTTTTCTTTAAAAGAAAAGAAAGAAAAGCACTAAACATAGTCAACTCATATTTTGTTCTGAGGTGTTTATGAACCCCAAGTTTTGTGGCACTATTCCTTTTTGTAGACCTATGGCAGTTAGATTGCAAGAGAGGTCTCTAACTGGTTTGCTATATCACTGTGAACAAAGATCATAATTGAACTTGACCTTACAGATGCATCAATTGCATAATCTATCAGGACTACATACATATCTGTTCACTATGAGATGCTATTCCAATAGATGCAACCTGGAACCTTCAATTGCTCTGAGTTTATGGTTTATAAACACAAAACAAATAGACTAGATAATAAAAAAAGACTGACATTAACTGGGCTAATCTTTGTTTAAATATTTTTTTTAAAAAAATCATCTTTTGAAAGAGAAAACTATCATCAACCTCCAAATATTCCCACCCTGCATTGTCAAGACCTTTCGCAGTAGAGGGCTTTTCCCTTTTCTGAAAGTTGTCAGTACAGGTGGCATCACTCCTAGGGGAGTTTGCATGGCTTAATCTCCATGCAAGGCTTTCTAAAACCTTGGTAAATTAATTCCAGTGCTCTGGATCCTCTTAGGGGAGTCTTTTGGGGACATAGAGCCTCCCCATTTCCGTGACCCAACTCTCATGACTGAGATACCAGACATGAGGCTTCAAAGATGGCCCAGAATAGGAGTTGAGGGGCAGCATGCCCACGTGCCTGAAATTACCCACAGATTTTGCTAATCGCATCTGAGGTAGAGGTCTTCACTCAGATTATCAATCATAACCTTACAATGTCTCTGAGATCTTTGATCAACAAAGATGGCAGGTATTCTCAGCAGCATTTCTTGTGTTGTGGCCTGCTTCGTAATTCTGTACTGGCATTTAGATTATTTAAGGAAAATATTTCTTTCCATAATTGAGCATGGAAAGCACCTAACTCCTGCTGAAAATTCTGTTAAGAGCTCAAAAAATGGTGGCATTTTATGTAAAATCCCCAAAGAGGACAATGATTATCAATATTTCATGAAAGATTTTATATAAATGAACCATCTTCCTGGACTATAGTTTAAGAAATAATCACATCCCTTATTCCATATTAATGAGTTTTAGCTTATCTTTACATGTCTTTTTTAAAGTTCTCAGAGTTTTAATGATTTTAGTCCAAGAAAGCTTAATCAGAGCTAACTCAGTATATTATATAGATATATTTATATAATCCAATCCGCTCTGGTAGAGAAAATGGGTACAATCTAGAAATCTAGAAAGCTGAGATACTTCTAAACTCATATATCTCAGCACATAATGAGAAAATAAATCAAGAGCTCTGTACTCAGTTGTATTTCCTTTATCTGAATAACCATCATTTACTGTTGTTCTACTTGTACCAGCCACAAGACTTAGCAATCCACATCTTCTCTTTTAATGTATATTCTCCACAATCCTACTAAAAGTTGTTACTATCTCTATTTTGTTGATAAGGAAACTGGAATTTGAGAGATTACTTTCCCAACACTCTAGAATGAAGCCCCCCCCCCAAAAAAGAGTCAGTATTTAAATCTAATATATTGGATGTCAAATCTCTTATCTACTTTTATGCATTACTTCCCCAAAGTGAGTATGAACTGGTTAACAAGTTGTAACTGTTTAAACTGGGACTGATAAGCTACCTCCACCTTCTATATTTTAGTTAAGTAATCTAATGGTATATTATTGCCTAATATTTTCTTCCTCTTCAAAATCATTAGTAGCAAAAGAGAAAGGTAAATAAAATAGGAACTATGTGCTAAGAAATATGAATATCAAAAGAAGATAAAAAGTACTACCTTGTCACAGAGAGAGCCTGTGAAATATTTTATTAATAATACATTTTTCTTTGAAAGATGAAAGACTGGCCCTTTCTGTAAGTAGGACTTAACCATTGCCGATGTGATAAAATTTAAGTGGTACACTCTCTAAAGACACCCCTTTTTTCCATGTTGTCAGTAACTGTTTGCATTTGGATTACTCTGTAATAATGTGCACTTAAGCATAATGACCTTATAGCATACTTTCCCCACGGTAGGACATCCAAGGTTAGAGAACTTATCCTCTGATGGTGGAAGGATAACCAAAATAAAGGAAAAGTCGAAAGCAAGAGACTAGTATTTTGTCCAGTACTTACTGAGTTCTATCTGGTTTACACCCAATATCTTTATCCGATGAGTTTTTGTTTGTTTGTTTTTGCAGGACCTAGGGCTTGGGGCCTGGGTGTTGTCCCTGAACCTCTTTGTGCTCTGAGCTAGCTTCTACCACTGGAGCCACGCCACGCCACGTGGCTACTTCTGGCTTTTTCTGAGTAGGTTATTGGAGATAAAAAGTCTCAGGAATGCAGTGCCGGTGGCTCACGCCTGTAATCCCAGCTACTTAGGAGGCTGAGATCTGAGGATCATGGTTCAATGCCAGCCCAGGCAAGAAAAGTTCATGAGACTCTTATCTCCAATAACCCACCAGAAAATTGGAAGTGGCACTGTGGCTCAAGTGGTAGAGCGCTAGCCTTGAGCTGAAGAGCAGAGTTGACAGTGCCCAGGCCCAGAGTTCAAGCCCCATGACTAACAAAAAAAAAAGAGTCTCAGAAACTTTCCTGCCTGGGCTGGCTTTGAACCGCAATCCTCAAATCTCAGCCTCCTGAGTAGCTAGTATTACAGGTGTGAACCACCAGCCTCTGGCTTCAGATGAGTTTAATTTCCATGTTTTCAGATAAAGAAACAGAAGCTAATAGAGTTTCAGTGTAAGTAGTCGACTTAGTGACACTTTGTGGCTAGTAAACAACTGTCTTGTCCTATGGCCTCACCAGTTATAGAACTGATATTTGTCCCTTTTTACCATGGGTAAGCCATTGACATTAATGTCCAAGGACAAGAAGGAACACAATAATCAATAATTGATGTGAGTTACAAAAAGTGGCCCCCAGGAACTCTATAACCAAAGAGTGTGTTCTTTGTTGCTTCTAGGTGTGTACAGAAGGCAGGCTGATCTTGGAGTTCACCTTTGATGATCTCATGAGAATAAAAACATGGCACTTTACCATTAGACAATACAGAGAATTAGTACCAAGAAGCATCCTAGCCATGCATGTAAGTAACTTGATTTCCCTTTTACTTTCTTTGCTTTTGCTCTTTCTCCTTTATCTTACTCAGGGACAATGGAGGGAAGCCCAGCTCTCTCTCTAGGTAAATATGTTCCCCAGTCATCACGTGTTAAGTAGCTAGCTCTAAATATTGAGTTTTGTTCTCAATTATGTTAATTGAAATGCGCCTTTGGACTCTTCTATCCCCAACTTTGACGCATCATGAGACTATTTTTTGTATTTTATTATTATAAATTCTGAATTGGGTTACCTTAATAAATGGTTTGTACTTCTCTTAAATTCCACATGCTTCCTGGGTAGATAAACCTGTTGTGTATAACTGGGAAACGAAATAACAAAAGGTCAAAACAGTTTCCATTTGATTAAACCATGTGTTATGTGACACATAGGTCTCCTATATTCAGGTCTGGACAGAGAGAAGTTGACCCTTCCTAATCCCAACTCTGCCCTTCTGTAGACTATCTGGGATTCTCTTGATTTCATTTGGCCATAAATTCCATCAATTTTATGGAGCACCAAACAGGTTGGGGGACTAGACCATCTACTGAGACCCCATAGTAGGGTACTCTTATTTAGTGTAGCTTTGGGAAAATGACATGATATCTCTGTGCATCCAGTGCCTCATTCTATAAAATGGGCACAATAATAAAGCATGCTCGGAAAGCTAGCTAGAATGAAGAGCAAATAACTGTAAGTCACATGGGATAATGTGTGGCACACACCAAAGCCCTCTGCAGCTATGGGCTCACTGCTCCGGAGGCAGGAACTGCAGGAGAGCCTTCCCTCATTGATTAATATCCTCCCAATGGTAATTTAGCTCCTTGCTATTGGCCACAACTGCCAATGCATCAAAGTAGAACCTAGGATGCAATGACAAAACTAGCCCTTATTTAAGAAATTGATGTGAAATTGATACTCTGGCTATTTTCTCCTAGATTTCGTGTGTGTGTGTGTGTGTGTGTGTGTGTGTGTGTAAACCCAATCAGTAGTTTCACTGTGGGGAAAAGATGTAGATACAGAAAAGACTAAAATTCTATTAATATAACTTAGGGGGTCTCATGAGAACAGACATGAAGACAAACTTATGTCTCCCTCTGTGTAGTGCCGGTTGGCTTATGCCAAATGAGAAAGAAAGAATATCAACCAAACGATTCATTCCAAAGTGAAATGAAGAAACAATTTTCTCTTGCCACCTATAACATTTTAGGTGGCCCTTGATACTTTACATACATGTTATATGTGACTGAGGTTTTGGAAAATGTCCTACTCAAGCTGGGATTCCTGCAGGATGAAAAATGTTGATGACATTGATTTCTAGTCTTGCTTTAATAGTGAGAATTAGAACTGTCTGTTTCTCTCTCCATATATATATATACATATATATACATATACATACATACATACGTACATATATAGACTTATACATATATACACATGTACATATATACATGTGTGTGTAGCATGTGCATATTTTATAGCAGTTGCAAATTTTTCAGGATACAGCCCTCAACTCAAGCTGTAAGTTAACATCACTCTTATAGCAGGAAACAGACATGACTTTGCCAACTGGGAAGTACCTCCATTTTTGGTAAGGGTCATGACCTAGAAGGTCTCCTAGCAGGGCTTAGGGTCTTTGGGATGGAAGACAAAAGGACAGGGTATCTCACAGAGAAAGTCGTATCATTTCTGTAGAATGGAATGCACATCTCAGGCACTTGGATTTTTGCTAGTCTTGCACAATTGATCCAAAAATGTTCTTGAGTGCTCTACGCAAGTGTCTTCAAAATGCAAATGAAACCATCTCCAGCAATCTGTCTCTCCAAGAAAAATCAACAGTGTCAGGATTGCATTGCGTAGCAGAGGGAGCGCAGTCGGAGGTTTTCCTGAGATCATCATCTCGTTGGGATAAAATGTGATCTTTTCTCTGTTCAGGCACAAGATCCTCAGGTGCTGGATCAGCTGTCCAAAAACATCACCAGGATGGGTCTCACAAACTTCACCCTCAACTACCTCAGGGTAAGTCCAATCGAATGTTTCTGTTTCCCGATTAAGTTTGAGAAAACTCTTCAGACTTCTTTGTGCTTTGATTCAGGTGTTTAAATGAGGGCATTATATTACCTGAGATGTACGTTACATGCCACTGTATATGTGTGTGAGTGTGCGTGTGTTGTGTGTGTGTGTGTGTTCAGCAGAGAATGGGTTTAATTAACAAAGCATCAAACCTGCAATTTGTCAAGGCTCAGCTTCCTTTGCTCATTTGTATGACTTTTGGAATTAATTATTCCAAGGCTAGCCATGTCCCTGTTTCATAAAATGCTCTGGTGCTACTTGCCTTCCGGTTGTCTCAGATTTCTGATATGTGATTGCTGAGTTCAGTGCATGTGTCTTCTCCCCAGCAAACCCATCCCCCTGGTGATTTCCCTCCAGGAGAAATTCAGTGGAGTGCTAGAATGCAGGCATTTCTTCTTAGGGATTTTGTGTGAGTTATATAGAATATACTTTCCTAGTTTGGACAAAAAGAAGATTATTTTTTAAAGTGTTCTAGGTAAAAATTCCTTGCTCATTATAATGTCCAGAGCTTCCGAATTTATTTATGGTTTCACAGATCACATGAGTTTTTAGGCTGGGATTGCACTGGTCAAGTTGCAGATAGAGCATATGCTTTCAGTTACAAAATGAGCTTGGTATTCTAGGACCCATAAGCCAGCAGGCCCCATGTTCCATACGCCTTTGCCTCTGAGATGCTGAGCTCTTTCATTGTACAGCAGTTCGCCTCACCAAGGCCTCCTGCTCCATCACAGAGTTGATGCTCTTGCTTCTTAAGCATACTCTGGGTTTGTAAATTTTGTTCCATGCTCACTCTCCTCTATGTACAACTACTTTTGTTGAAAGGCTGACCTATTTTTGGCCAGGCTTACTCTTCTGTGAATTAATAGTTACTTGAAAAGATTCTTCCAATTCACTCACATATTTACCATGCTACCTGTCATCAAGAAATGCCCACGCCTATGAGGGAAGACCCATATAGAAATTGTACAGACAGTGGTCAGTGCCTTACACTGTGGTATAGCATCTTGTCAGGGACCAGAAGAGGTGTGGCCTGAGGCCTATGATACCCAGGAAGCGATCTGGGTCTCAGAAAGGGGTCAGAGAGATGCCACACTTCTAACAGCACCTCAAGTGGCCACAGGACACTTGGCAGGTCATGACCAAGCAGAATCTCAAGTCTGTTGACCCAAACTAGATAGAGCACATAGGCTCTATCTATTTCTTTAGTTTAAAACTGAGGTTTAAGATTTCCCTCCTAGTCTAATCACTTGGCAATTTTTAAGAGAACTGAACAGTCATTAAATACATTCAGCAATAAAATTGTCTTAGAGTCTGTAGCTCCCTATGTGTCTGAGAAACTGGGCTTTTAAAAGCCTCAAGCCTCAGTCATGCACATAGTCTTATTTGGACAGTGAATGAGAAGATTAAATAACCACTGCTAAGAACAGTGGTCAGACCCAGATGTTGGCAAGTCTGTGGCCTCTCTAGGAGTAAAAAAGAAAGAAAGAAAGAAAGAAACTTGATGTGCTCTGCCTCGCTGCAGACATCTGCAGTTTCTATAGGTAGTGCATTGCAGGTCATAAAATTAAGCAGTGTGGAAAGTAAGCAATGATAGTCATACAGCTTCTTCAAAACAAGTTCATTATTTTCAGGGAATTCAGAGCCATGACAAAGCGCACTGATATGAGTCTGACGTATGCTACTTAAGTCCCTGTTATAACTAACCAGGAAGTTACCAAGGCTGAGGCAAGACATAGAATGGAAGAATGAAGAACTCATCGCCTCATAGGTGACCCATTTCACAAACTAGTCCCTATCTGCTGAAGGGGCCTTGGCACCACTCAGGGATCTGATTCATCTGATGATGGAACTAAAGAGCCAGGGATTTGTGAATGTGTCTTGTCCTGTTTTCTGGAATGGAGTCTGTCCTGCTGTCTGTCAGCATTTCTTGATGGAACCCATCCCAGAGACCAGCAATGGCAGAGTGCAGTATGACAGAGTCAGGTCCCTGCCCTCCAGAGGAGATACTGCCTAGACCATGAGAAATAAAAACAAATGATCAGAGAGAAAACAGTCCCAGGGGCAGTGCTATTAACAACAATGGATGACACTTTGGAGCAATTACTATAGACTAGGCACTGTGAAGTAGGAAGTACCAAGGAATCTCTTCATTTCTCCTCTCCCTCTCCTCTCTTCTTCTCTCCTCTTTTTTTTCTCTCTCCATCTCTCTCCCTCCTAGTAAACATCTCTTGAATGGATGATTGGTAAATGCTTTTGTGAATGGAAGACTTGATTTTGAATGGCATCAAAAATACTATATGATTTGTTTTCAAAGTCATTCCTAGAACTTCACCATGAAATCTAAAAGCAAAGGGCTACTGCAATGAATAGGAATGTGGGATAAGGCCCCAAGGTTGCTCTAGTATGAAAAATTCTCCATCAAATATTCAGAATCTTCCATGTCAACTTTTTGTTTTAGTATCATTTCTATTCACTCTTAGTAAGTACTCAACTTTTACTCTGAATGCCAGTATGCCCTTTACTTTATGTTGGAAAATTCATCCTTTCAAATCTTGAGGATAAATTCATAAATGGGTAATTGTTCTTGTCTCTGTTTCCTTTGGAATGATTTTCTTGATACTGGGTTACATAAAAACATCATATTATCTTGAATCTCAATCACAAGATGCTTTCTTTGTGTGTTCTCTTACTCTTTATTCATCCAGATGCATAATTTCTGCTTAAATGCAATCAGGTTATATATATGATTTCTTAATGCTATTTGGTAAACACTTCCATGTGTCTACATAGTCATCATCTTAACCATTTATCATAGTTGTGGTGTTCTGATCGCATTTATTTATTCATTTCTCTAATGTTGAGTGTTGAAGTCATCTTGAAGTGGCTGCCATTGTGAATGCCTTTCCTCTAAACCCTTCTCCATACCCTCTTCTTAACAGTGTTTCCTGAAAATAGAGAGCTGGACCACAGAGGATATGTGGGAAAATAAATAAATAAATGTGTTAGAGGAATGTAGGTGTGATTCCTAACTCTTCTATATGACCTTGAGCAAGTTGCTTAAATTCCCATTTTCCCTACTGAAAATTGGGAAGAACTGTAAATTTCACAAGGTTGGTGTGAGAAATGGATAAATTGTATTTTGTAAGAATCTGGCACAAAGAAGGAGCAGAATAAACTACAAGTTCCCTTTGTTTCTGTCTCAAACAGAAAAGTCAGTCAGGATTCCATTTCTGTTGATGCCATTTATTTTTATGTAATACTGACCAAGTGCCTTAATTTCTCAGTCCCCCTTTTGTTTTTCTGGCCCTGGGTCTTGAACTCAGGCAGAGTCCCATTTTTGCAGAACGATTGCACACAATGTGGATCTTGGCTACTGTATCACTGGTGAGAGTTAAAATGGTAATGCAGCCAGACTCCAGTGGCTCATGCCTCTAATCCTATCTACTCAGGAGGCTGAGATGTGAGGACTGTGGTTAAAAAAAAAAAAAGGCTGGGCTGGGAAGGTGGCTCAGTGGTAGAGTGCTTGCCTTGCATGCCTGAGACCCTGGGTTTGATTCCCCAGCACCACATAAGCAAAAAGAAAAAAGCCGGAAGTGGCGCTATGGCTCAAGTGGTAGAGCGCTAGCCTTGAGCTAAAGCGCTGAGGGACAACGCCCAGGCCCAGAGTTCAGGCCCACGACCGGACCCAAAAAAAAAAAAGGTTCTTGAGACTCATCCCCAATAGCTGCCATATCCCCCCAAATCTGGAAATATAGCTGTTGTAGCTCAAGTGGTAGAGCACTAGCCTTAATGGGGGGAAATAAAGCTCAGTTATAGTCCCTAGTCCCTTAGTACAAGCCCAGAACTGGAATATATTCACACACACACACACACACACACACACAGAGTAATGCGTGTGGCAAATACTTTAAAACTTCATACTCCAGGAATCCATATATGTCTCAATGCACTTGTCATCCTCTTTATATCAATCATGACCTTGAATTCTGTATTGAGGCCATGAAATCACAGGAAAGAACAGAAATAAAAAAGAAAGGATTGATTTATAATGTACAATAGGAGAGAACTTGGGTCACATGCCAGATATTGGCACCCCTACCCAACACGATTATTACTGTTAATGAGCGATCACTTTCCCCAGGTGTTTCCAATGCCAACTCCAGTCTTTTTGTTGTTGCTGTTATTTAACAAATAAGTCCAACCCTTCCAAGAAGCAGTGTCAACTGGACACAAAAACATGTGGGGTTTGCAATCATTTTTTTTAATTCTGTACTTTAATTTCCCAAATGAATGAAGATTTTTGTTGTTGTTATTGTAATGCCTTGAAGATCATTGGTCCCTGCGTGTTGCCTCCATGTGAGTAGTGGACGCACAGTTCAAGGCCTGGAAGAACTGGGCAATTAACTTTGGAAAATGACCCCCCACAGAAGGACATGAGCGGCCTCCAGGGGACTGAGTGTGGCTGCAGTCAGCATTTGGAACCATGCTGAGATTTTTTCTTGTTTCTTCTTTTTGTGAGGCTTTGACTTGCAGCCAGATTTGTGTGTGTGTGATCTTATGACAGAGACAGGATTGCGGTCCAACCCATTTACCCCTCCTCATGCCAACCCAAGCCTGAGGATTGGATAGGAGCCTCTGCTCAGCACCATTACTTGCCTCCAGGTTGGGCTAAGACATAAACAGACCATTCCCTTGTTACACATTCAAACTGATCAACAAAGGAGCTTGGAAGAAGTACTGGGGAGGCAGAAGCCACACCAGCAAATTTACACCTCGTGCAGAGCCCAGAATATTATAAATCCTAAAAAACAAACAACAACAACAAAACCGTCAGCTAAAGCCTGCTGGGCAGAATGCGGTCATGGTGACGGCAGGTGTACAAACTCTGTTACTGGGCGTCCAGAAAGTGATAGCAAGAGCTTGGAAACTACCAAAATGCCATCTGA